ATGAAGGAGTAATATTTTAATTATCGTACTAATAAGATTTAATTAATTATTTACTTCTAGGAAGGTAAAATGTGGAGTTTGATCATTTTTTTTAAAGAAATTGTAAGTTTTTAATTATTTGAAAGTTAAAGACGTTATACGTGATTTGTATGCATGGGTTATACTTAAGAATCATGCTAGATTTTTTTTTCTATGAGTTTCTTTAATTTTCTTTTAATTTATATTTATATTTTTTGTGTTATTATGTTATTTTATTAATTTATAAATTAAATTTTTTAAAGATCCATGGGCTTACGCCTCGCCCCATATCAAGTAAAACGTCCCGTCTCACGTCCCGCCTTTAAAAACATTGCTTGTAAGTAGCGTATAATAGATTATTTGACTAATTTTTTGTGGGGATGGAGTGCGCGCGCGCGCGCACACACACACACACACACACACACACACACACACACACACATATATATATATATATATATATATATATATATTTACCAGTTTATAAATATTTACTGTCATTATATTATTTTATAAAATATTAAAAATTAAATACCTATGGGGTTTACGTCTCGCTGAGACATATGTAAAACGATTCACCTTACGCCACGCTGCCAGACCCCATAGTGTGGAATAATACTGAGTATGTTGTTGTTGTAATCTTTATTAGCAAAAAAAAAAAATTGCAAGAATTAGGGAGCTTAAATGAAATACAAATGTAGTATTATAATTTTTCCTGAGCCGAAAAACTATACTTTAATATAAAGTTGTTCTGTTTTGTTATTTCCAAGTTGAGAGTTTAAAACTATGACTAAAAGTTTAGTAACTTCTTTAAAAAGAGAAAAGAAAATAAGAGCAGCCTTTTCTTGTCATTCTCCAATATCATCACTTTTATTATCGTTATATCAAAGAAAGGAAATTGTTCTTATTTTTTCGTTTTTTATTCTTAAAAATTTTCACACAGTTAATCAGGATAATAGAGAATTCGAACGTCTAATTGAAAGCAATGATCAAAATACTACTAAAAGTGGTACTTATGGTATTACATTTTGAATTGAGATCTCTTAATACATTTTGTGTATTTTGCAAATACTAATTTAGCCATGACTATTTGTAAATACCAAACTAAAAAAAATGAAATACTACTTTAACTTTGTATGAGTATCACACTTTAAATTCTAGTTTTCACTCATATATCTTCAAAATTTGTACACCTTTTTTTAAGCGAGGCACAAATTCAAATACAACTTCAATTTTCACTTTGAGTAATTTTTTCATTTTTATAAAAGCTGAATTTTTTGGTGAAAAAAATTAAAAACTGAATTTTTGAATCCCAATAAATCCAATTTAAATACGAACCCCAATAAGCTCAATAAAATGGTATGAGAGAATTTTAAAACGACACAATTTGGCTGTTCTTCTCTCTCCTTCACTCTCACCTCTTCTCCGCCGACATCGCAACGGTTCGCCGGAGCATTACGGCGGCGCCACTAACGTCTCAAAACTCACTCTGTTTACTCGCCTGCTTTACTTCCACCGATTTTAATTAACAGCGAATTCGCCGTCTTTTATATTCAGTTTACCGTTGTTTTCGGATTAATCAACACAAGGTACTGATCAGTTCGTAATTTTGGTCTCCACTCTTCGTCATTTACTGTTTAATTTATTATTCTTAGTTTTACCATTTCTAGAGTCCTCTTATTTCCTTGTTTTAGATACTTTCGGAGATATTTATAGTGTTTGTTTCTTATTGTTTTGATTTTAAATTTTTTTCTTTATTGGGTTTTTTGGGAATTTAGTGTTGCTATTAACAAAATGAGTAATAAAGCAGTTGAAAAAAGAAGAAATTTTTTTAGTGTATATTTTGGTTATCTCTGACATTTTTAGTGAAATTCCTTTGTTCTATCAACAAAATTAGCAAGGGCATTTTGTGTTGCATTTTCAAGTCATTTTGTTAAGAGTTTAAGTTCTGTCGGTATAAACAGTATTTACATAGGTGTTTACACAGCCAGGTTTAATTGAGGTAACTCTATTTAGTAACATTGATCTGTAATTTAAAATAAATGGTTAGTAACCTGTTAGAACAGATTAAATTACATTGATGATGTGAAAAATTCATTACACTGTCAGTGCGTATCACTTAAAGTCCTTTTGTTAATAGCAGAACTTGGTTAACCCGTGCTGTTTTGTCTCAGGAATTCAAGATGATTGGATCTTTTCTCACCAGAGGGCTTGTGTAAATTTCAGACTACCCTTATAAAGTTTTAAACACTAGTAGTCTTAAATTTTTGTATTGCTTGAGTTGCTAAAGCTGTGATCTTTGATGTGTTGCTCATGCAGGATGGTTTTTGGTTATGCTTATCCAGCTTATGAGTGCTTCAAAACTGTGGAAATGAACAAGCCTGATATTCAGCAACTCCGCTTTTGGTGCCAATATTGGTATCTTGCTGCTACATTTGCTTTTTAGACCTCAATGTATCTTTGTTTTGAATCTCAGTTCTAACTCCCTACAACTTTTCAGGATCTTAGTTGCTATGTTGACAGTTTGTGAGAGGTTTGGTGATGCTTTTATTTCGTGGTAATCATACCGAACTTGGCTGTTCATATCATTTTTATGTTAAAATCCAGCTTGCTATATTTTGAAAATTATGTGTTGATTGCTAGCTTTCTGTTACATTGTTCTTTTTAAGGGTTCCAATGTACAGTGAAGCTAAGCTGGCATTCTTCATTTACTTGTGGTGCCCCAAAACTAAGGTATTCATATGTATAGTTTCTTAATTGAAAAAAATCAAATATTTAGTCTTTCAATGGTTTCACCTTTATGTTAATTTAATTTGGTTCTTCATATCGTAAAATTACTGCAGGGAACTACATATGTCTATGATGCCTTTTTTAAACCGGTGATTTTAAAGCATGAGACTGAGATTGATCGAAATTTGTTGGAGTGGAGGACCAGAGCAGGAGACATGTTGGTCTTATACTGGCAGAAAGCGGCTAGCTATGGTCAGACGAGGATTTTTGACGTTTTGCAGTACATTGCTTCGCAGTCAAATCCACCTCCCCCAACTCAGGTTTTTATTAAGATGTGTTTCACAGTTCATTTGCAAGCTCAATCATTTTCAGCATTTCAAATTTCAAAAGTGGTTTGAACTAAATGATAGTGTTAGCTGTTTGACATCTGAAGATTTTATTCATATTAGAGTAATTGCGTGCTTGTTAGTCCGAAATTTGTGTTGTTCTTAAAATCCGGAAAATCCATCTTGAACTCTCCATGATGCATAATTTGAAGGTTAAGGAGTGATAATTCATTAAGGTCGAATAAACCCTTCTGGTATCAATGTTCAGCTGCTTGTTAACCTTCTGGAATAAATAATACATTTGGGACACATACTTGTGATGCCTTGGGGTTTCATAGATATGTTGAATCTTTTTTGTCTGAGCATCTGATCCCTTATCATCTTCTTTATCTCTGGGAAACCAGACACCCTGTTAAATTAGTTAGTAAAGTTTTTTCCAACTGGTTTTTCCTATTGTTTATTCCTGTATTCATGGCTTAATTTTCTAATTATACTGGTATTTTCGAGGTGTGGCCCAGGGAAGGGGGAGGATGGGGTTTTTACGTGTAGATAATAGCCAGATTACAGATGATATAAACTGACGCAATATTTGGGGCTTTGCTGAGTGGATTTGTTCGTTTTTGCAGTCTAATTAAGATTTGCTACTTAATTTGCCTTTTAGGGAAGTATGTTTTAGTTGGAGCTTGCTATAAAGGGTTTAGAATCTAAGGGGAAATTTCGTTGATGGTGTATATTTTCCGTGCCTCATGTTGACTACATGCCCACCTAGAGACGCCTATACAAACTTGTGCACAGATGTTTAATTGTAATGTTGAGTGGTAGTAGTTTATTGATTAACTCCAAGGTTGTGTAATCCCTATTTTATTTGTGCTGCCTTTCGAAATTGCAGCCACAAAGGCAAAGCAGTAGAGGTCGTCAACCCACTGCAACACTGAATCGCAGATCAACTGCTCCAGCTGAAGAACAAGCACCCCCAGCTTCCTCTGAATCATCAAGTGATAATGACGCAGATGCAACAGAAGAGGCGGAGTCATCTAAAGCTCCTCCACCGTCTTCCACTGCAGCTGCTTCTCTGAACGCGCAAGAAGCAACTCCATCCAAAACCCTGGTTTCGACTGCAGCTGCTTCTCTGAACGCACAAAAAGCAACTCCATCCAAATCCCTTGCTGAAACCTCAAAATCTTCAGCATCTGTTGATTCTCGAGTGATGCAGATCGATTCAGTTCCTTCCTCAGCTAATGAAAGTGTTATTAACCCTCCTCCTGCCGAGACAACCTTGGAGGAAGCGAGTCGAGTAACACGAGCCAGATCAAGGAAGACACGAGCACAAAACCCTTGATTTGTGACATCAAGTACCTCCACATGTTAGTCCAAAAATGTGGTTTAAATACGTGGTGTAAAAGGATTTGTTTTAGGTTAGTGAGTTCAATGTACATCTGGCAAATCTTATTTCATTCAGTGCTTAAGTTGTCCATGAGTTTTAAGCATGGATTGAAAAATATGAGGGTTGAGTGGGTAGGACTGCTAGATTTAATTACCATTCATTATCAAATATCCAAATTAAAGTACTTATTTGTGCTCAGCGATTGGAGATGTAAATTCATAATTCCGTATGATAAGATGGGGCTGGCTTTTAGCTGGTGCTTGCACAGGAAAATGATCGAGAACCTGTGGAGCCAGAGTTATCTTAGAGGATCATTGTGCATACATATAAACATCTGGTTCTGCACAATAATTTTTCCCTCAAATCGCCCTCCAAAATCTCGATTACATTAGTGTAGGCACAAAATTTATTTGAAACGACAAGTCAAAGAAAAAAGTGTTGACACAATACCTTTCATTTTAATCTTGTTTACTCTAAACGTTAGAAATGTACATGTAATGCAATAGCTCATTGCCTCATTCACAATAACCAGAAACACCAAATATTTAAGTTCCAAAAATTGTACTATAAATATTACAGTTAACTTCAATATTATCCAGAATCATTTGAAGTTTCCCATAAGCTGCCGGCAGGCGACAATTACACAACTGCCAAACAAACTTGTTCTTTGAAGTCATATATCCAAGCCTAATCCCAACTATGGGTAATCTTAAGACTTGTATTCCTGTGAAGCATATTGATATAAGAATCAGCATAATTATACGCCGAAGTTGCAGGGTCTCCCTGAAACCCGGTTATTTCATACTATAATCTGGCTAGAGGCCCAATAAATAATTAACGCTATTTCATAGGTTATCTGCTGTCCTAAACCGCTTACTGATAGTACGTAAAGCTTTGTTTAGATATTTACAGGTCAGTTAGAAGCCTTATTTCTGTGTATCTTCTTGCATCCGTATCTGGAGTTCAATGCTTTAACCAGGCCACTCCATTTTTAAGAATGTTCAAATGCCCCATAGATCAGTAGCGCTGACCTCCTGATCTGAGCGCAACCAGTAATCATCATCTATCTGCAATTTGTGGAAGACCATATGTGGATTAGAATCAGTGTTCGTAAAATCGAAAAGCACAAGAAAACATGGTCCACGAGGCTTGAAGCGAAAAGCAAGAAGTGAACTTTGAAGTGAATTGCTCATTAAAAAATGGCAAACATATATGAATTTAGTACTATAATAATCAAATTGCAATCAAAATAACTATTGTTAGCATCCACTGTACAATAATGCCGCCGATATTAATCCTACTAATGAAAGTTGAGATTCAAAAAGTGTCTGCTTATTGATTGGATTACAGTGTGTTATTATTTGAAGTGCACACTTCTCTAAAGCGCATGATTTAATCCATAAAGCGATATCTCATCGCGTTGCATTACTTCCGTCGCTTTAAACGACAAAGAAAATGCGTTTAATGACACTGATTAGAATATTATTCAACTTTGGCAACAGCTAGAGCAACCAATAAATAGAAAGGGGAGGAGAGGGGAGGGGAGGGGTTCAGTCAAATACTTACACTGGCATGAGAAGGTACTATTTTGTGAACACCTGAGAGCTTTGAGGTAGTTGAATCTAAAGAGCAAGGAGGTACTGAGGATAAGTAAGCATCATCCATCTTTTCATCAGCAGTCAATGCATCCAATGGTTTTGTGTGTTTGATGGTTATGTCCTCATGTTTCCAACCTTGTTTGCTGCATGTGTTGATAATCATGTCAGTTATCAGTGCTTTGAAGCTTTTCGCTGATACAGTAGAAAATGTCTTTACTTTTAACAAGAGACTACTTGAAAGAGGATTAGGAAACCTGCCAAGCTATACATGAATCAATAGTTGTTATAAAGATGGAGAGACACTTGTCACCTAGTGGAGATACCTCAAGAGAAACAAATCTATCGGCCCTGTTGTGCTTCTAAGAACAAGCCTATACTGCTTCTCTGGGAAATCGAGATCCTGTTACGAAAAATAATGGGATCAGAGTCTAGACTCTAGCATATTGTTTGCAATTTTCAATGTTGCCAAAGACCAGGTTACTCACCTCACATGGATCAGGAACTTCAATAAGACTAGCATCTGGAGCTTTTATAGCAATAACAGTTTTGTCCTGTGACAAATACCACAAGCACTTTAGAGAACTGAGACACCATCACAAATCACAGATGTAAGAAGATGTTACATACCCTGAAATGAGGCAAGCTCATGATATCTTCCTCCGTCAGAAGGAGGCTCCTGAAGAGTCGAACCAGATGATTTTAAGAAATTGATCACATTTTCAAAATAGAAAGAATTGCATCAGGAGAAAAAGGACATAAAGGACATACTTTTGACAATTCACATCAGATTCTAGGGTCCTTATTTGCTCTAGTTTTTCCCTGTAATGAAAATTGCTTTCATGCTCACATTCATAAAGTAAAAAACTCAGAAACATTTCTCTCTCATTGATGACAAGTTGTTACCAAACCTTATGCAGTTATCAAGTCGCCAATCCTCTGCATTTAGATATTCAATCTCTCCCTGTAATTTAAATGGAAAGCAAGATTCAGTTAAAGAATCAGAATGGAAGAATATACAGAACACCTCACTCCTTCCTGTCAAAAGCTATTACTAGTAGTCAGGTGCAAACAAATATTTCTGCTTCATCATATTATATTGTTTGCTTCAAGCTCTAACTCATAAGCTTCTTAATATTTAGTGCTTTTGTTTGTACAACTGCTAGCCATCACATTAAGCAATTTATAAGCACCTTCAATCTAGACACTTGATCACGCAGCCCTCGTGATCTGGTTGACGGAAACCCTCTGTTAAAGATAAATCCAGGGGTCATTACCATGTAAGGTCGTAAAAAACTGAACCAAATGCACAAGTGTATTACTTCCAACATATACGACTCTTTGTAGTTTTCTCAATTAATCCAATTCCCTCAAGGACATTCGTGATGTCATAAATTCTCCTCTTTGCCACCTGTAGAACAAGAAAATAAATAAATTAGTATCCCACATGAAGTGAAGGGAGCCAAATGAAGGAAAAGAAGAACAAAGACTGTTTTCTATTTCTTACTGATCCACATTCATAAAACCTTTATTAACATGTATCTTCCCCAGATTATGATGCAGGAGAAAGTTTACCTTCAAAACATCTGCAGAATGGTTCAAATCGAGGGATCCATCTTCGGCCTCCTGAAGCAAACTAATGAATTTCTTTGTCAACAAGCCTGCCAGAAAATGGCATATTTATTACTAGCCAATAACTAAAACATCAACGAAAGCAGAGGCACCTGGTCATATAAATTACATTTATCCAAAGCAGCTTACCCAAAGAGTTGTCAAACCGATAACTGCCACCTAAATTCAGGTTATCAAGCAGATCTGTGTTGAGAAAAAAAATAAAAAGAGAAATTGATACATTAACAAACTTGGCTGGAAAATCAATGCATATTTAGTACTCCATATGATGCCTCATTCTAGGACCTGCATTTATTCCTGTAGCAGCTGATATGGCATCTCTAGAAGCCTTTCCTTTACTGGATTTTTTAGTACGTGCACGAGCAGCTTGTCCAAGGGTAGAATGATTGGCTGCAACAGTCCTCTTACAAGCTCCATATCCACAATTATCATCCTTAGACTTTTCAGTTCCATTGTTCTGCTTCAAGCAATTGAAAAAGCTCCGTTAGTATGAAAGATATAGAGGTCAATTTTTTTCTCAACAACATAAACCAAAGAAGCACTTAGACCCCCCCTTAAATTCAATTGAATGTAATGATCAATAACAATACTTGTCTCCCATTAAGCTGAGTCTGTTATAAGCCTAATGTTTTCTGATACAATTATTCTAAAACCTAATCCAAACGCACACGTAATCATTCTCTTTAACACAATGTCAAAAAGAGAATTCCTTTTTTGTCCAAACACCACTTAGTATCAATGCAATCTTATGTCCTGTTATGATTGTACGATCTCATAACTGCGAAATGATTAAAAAAGAATCATCATAAACATTTATTAGCAGAAGAACATGTATAATCACCAGTAAAGTTCTAAGAAAGCCTCATTATAAAGGATTAGACTACTGTAACTTAGTATGAATGGTGAATGCTAAATCATTCAACTGCATGATTATTGTTAGAGGACTTAATAGGATTGAGGTACTAAATTACACAAATTAAGACAGTATCTCAAAAAGTAGCAAGAGATGGAAGAAATTCCACTAATTAAGCATCCCAACAAAAAGATCATGAATTAAATTGATAGAAAAGTTAATTTGACTATAGCACGAAAACAACTTACGGAAAAAAGCATCATATCAACGTTTAAATCTTGAATAATAATTTAAATTTTTGAAAATAGTGAAAGTTTGTATAGAGATGACATAGTCCAATATAGTCCTAACATGTAAAGTCTACCATATAAGTTAGAATAAATGATGTATTAATTTTAAAAGAAGGTATCATTATAGTGGAGTAACAGTTTTCATGTAGGGTTTTAAAAATAGAACATACTTTTTACATTAAAATCAATGTCTAATCCACGCTAAAAAAATTACTACCACCTGTCCATATTATTTGTCGTTTTGACAAACTGAAATACTTGACGTTTCAAACAAAAAAGGCGCTTAATGTTCTAATAAGCAAAGTGTTAATTAGGTATTTAAGTTAATGTTTAAGAGAGATAAATAGTACTAATGCATACAAATATTTTGATAATCAAGGTACATCTTTCTTAAGAAGTGCGCGAGACATTAGATAAGTTGAATTTTCTTGCTCTAAAGCGTTCAACAATGGAGATACAAAAACTTAAACATAGGGAGAAAAATTAAAACAAAAGAAAAAATATATAAAAAATTATATTAGACGTCTATAAAATACAAACTAGTACGGAGATCACGTTATTTAAAAAATGATAAAAGGAGAAAGCTAAGAAAACAAAAATACTCACCGGAGCAGAAACGAATGTAGACGAGGCAAACAGATTGCGAGCTACGGGACGAGATTCTGAGCAAATTTGAGACATTAGATGAAGTGGAGCTAATGACAAGTTGAGATTCAGGTTAAGATCCACGTTTTCGCCGGCGGTAGACATAACCGGCAAACTGCAGAAGCAGATTATCAATCAAACGGCGTTTGAACAGAAAAAAAATTGGAAAAGAGGAGGGCTTTGTTGTGGAAGCTTTGAAACAGCGGGAATGGCAAGAGCGTGTAAAGTGTGGGGGAGGAGGCGCTCAGTTTCGAATCCGAGGGCCCGCCCGCCCGCATTTATGAATATATTTCGGAAATTTCATGTGGGCCCATAAAATGGGCCCATACCTCTCTCTTACTTCATACAAATTGGGTGGGTGCAGAGTTAGAGATTGATATACTATTTTTTTAGATTTAATTCAGATTGCGAGAATCCAAGGAGAATTTCACAAGTTTTTATTTCCTAATTACTCCCTACGTTTACAAAAGAGTGTCACTATTTTTTCTTATCAATTTATTTTAAACATAATGACATATTTAAAAATTAAAAAATAATTTAGCTTGAACTTTCATATTTATCTTTAATGATAATTTTATATAGATATGTGAATGTTATGATGAATTTAAAAACACAAGTTTTAAAAATTTTGTTGACAAATACTATAATATATTTAAAGATCACAAATTTTCAAAATATTTATTTTTTGAAATTTCGTATCCAGTCAAATTATTATGACATAGTATAAATTGTAATGAATTAGTACTAAACTTATGGAAGCCTCCAAGGGTGTGCCATAACAAGTGTGTGACAAACTGACACTACTTTTTTGTTTTTAAATTTCAAAAACTGTGAACTAAAAACTAGGCGGCATTCGCGATCTGTTCTACAACTTATTACTTATTTATTATTATATTAATAATAATGATTCGTAGTTAACTCCAACTTGTTAACATAGTTGATGTTGTATATATTTCTTTATCAAAACTGAATAGCAGCTCTAAGATTTTGGTCATGTTTGATACAATCTCCTCACTTGTAAGATTACTAATAGCATGTTTGGCAAGCTTTTTTTGGGGCCAAAAGGCTTTTGGCCAAAAAATTGAGGTGTTTGGCCAAACTTTTAGAAGGAAAAAGATATTTTTTAGAAGAAGCAGATTTTGAGAAGCAGAAAAATATAGCTTCTATACAAAATCACTTTGCTGAGAAGCACTTTTGAGAAAAATACACTTAGAAGCAATTTTTAAAAGTTTGGCCAAACACTAATTACTGCTCAAAAGTGATTTTCAAATTAATTAATCAAACACAAATCGATTCTCACCAAAAGTACTTTTTTGAAAAGCACTTTTAAAAAAAAATACTTCTTAAAATAAGCAAATTTTAGAAGTTTGGCTAAACAGGCTATAATACAAGCAATTACTACAAGCACATCAAAACTCTAGTTGCATGCAAATATTGTTGAATGCTTGTTTGATGAAGCTAAAGGTATACGCATCAATTGTTTGGTCAGAGAAGTGAAGGAGGGCAACGAATAGGATATAAGGGGACTAATTTATCCCACCTAGGAGGTGGGATAAAATAATCCCAAGTTTGATGAGATAAATTTAATCCCACACCTTATTATCCCACCTTATCCTGCATACCAAACGACCCCCAAGAGTTATACGAGTTACCACTTCATCTTCAAATTCTTTATAACATAAGAATTGCTTATTCAACAATACATCAATGAATAAAATTACAACATGAATTACCTTGCTTCTGCTCAAACAAAAGACAAGATAATCCTAAACCATCTATTCTAACAAGACAATATTCTCGAAAATTTGTGGCAATGGCTTTGCCAAACGACATTATACAACGAACCACAGAGGTGCCAAAAAGTATTATACTAGTTGGAGCTTGTAACGGGTTCAATGCTAGATATTTTCGTGCCGCTTAGTATATAACCACCAAAAGCACTCATCTGCATATGTGGGTGGGTTCTTGATGGGAGTACCTGCTTAGTTTTCTAATTAGCGATTCGGGCAACTAACAAGCTAGCAAATAAAAGGGGGGAAAACTGTTTAAAAAAAAATCGCATTATTATAAATTATCTAAAATCTGCTTGACAGAGCCCCCTTGAAGAATGGAAGTAAGAATAAAGTTAAGTGATTTTTTAAGTGGTAAGATCTCCTCCTAGTGGGGTGGTTTGGATTTAATTAAAACAAACCTGATATTCACGTAACCAAGGTTCAGAAATTTGTAAGCCAATAGCCATTTTCTCAATCTGAAGGTTGTGCATACACATCGCAAGAGGCTGCAATTGAAACAAAGGATCAGTTTTATCTTACTTCTCCAACAGAAGGGAGGATGCCGCGATACAGAATGGGCTTCAATCATTGATCTAACAGAACACACACACACAGAAAAAAGCCAGCTTATGGGAGAAAAGAGAGTATTTTTACAAATCTAGCCAAAATATTATAGTGGAATCATGAATTTAGATCAAAGCTTAAAATGTTCTTTGAAAAAGAAAGAGAAATAGAAGCACAACATGCAATAAAGAATACAGTTTACATGAGGTTATTCTACCCAGATTGCTCTTTCCGATTGAAGATAAAATAGCAAAAAATTTCATAGCCTTCTCTGTGATTGGATACAACATAGGAAAGTCCATTAAGACATCATGCCTCTATAAGCAGTGTGAAATCATATTGCAGGATTTCCCCTCTTAACGCTTTTTATCACTCAAATGTAAAATAAGAATAAGACTTTTGAAAATCTGTTTTACTCACCTTTCTATATTAAAGAGCAGATAAAAGGATATTGACTTGCTACCATGATCACCACAGATGCCTAAATCCAACAACTTATGGTTTTTAGAATCAAACATGTTTATCTAAACTCAATTCGCAGAAAATTCTTCTTGACGTTTAAAGAATGCAAAAGTTGGGCTAATAAAAAAGTGGATAAGAAAGAGCTTGTGCATGTAAACAAGGAATGAGCAGCCTAGCAGGCTAAGAACATTAAATAAGTTTGGCAAGCTAAGAACAATACCTGAGCATACTGGTGATAAACAGCAAAAGGAGCTGAAAATGATAAAAGAGGAAGCACTTCTTTAATAATGCCCCAAGGGTCCAGTTCTGGAGCAGCAATTATTAGGCTGAAAAGAAGAATTGGAAATAAGATAGAAGGCAACAATATAACATGGCAAAAGAAAAGAATGGAAACCAAATTATGTTCAAACCTGGAAAAACCATTTTCTTTCCACAACTTGATGGCCTCCTGGGGTGCCTTCTGACCTGGTTTTACAGATTTACAAGGTTTAATTATTGGTGAGGGAATGGTCTCAGGTGTTATTTCCATGCAATCATGTTCAGATGAAATGCCAACTTCTTCGACACCGCAAGAATGAGCGGCAGGTAAGGTTTCTTCCTGCAGGCACATGTTTTGCAGGGAAGAGAAAAACACATTTAGAGAAGAAATAATTTCCACCAAAAAATGGAGCAACCTTAGATATTACAACTTGATTTTACCTTACTCTCAGACACTGAAGCTCCAGTTTGAAATGAATTCAGGTCAGTCAGAGATGCATGCACAATTCTAGACCCACGGGCAAACAGTAAATCATAGTTAGCACTAATGCAATAAACATATTTAGATGATCTTTGGAAAAACGAAACTATAAGCTATCTACTAAAATATACATTTTTTCCTCTACTGGGTACTAACTCTCCCTCAAAATTTAGAATCATCAAGATTCTGTCACGTATTGTAATTGGATTGTTATTCTATTTTATCGAAAGGAAGTGTACCTTTTACAGATCTCATCATTTAAATTAAACATCCTTGTGATATCGACAGGATACGGAGACGACCCACGGTAGGTATTGCACACATAACCAGTACCTGCTAAGATCATTGTCATGAAAAAACTATAGTCATCAACTTCAAAGCAATTTGACAATACTATAACATGTTCTGACATGGTTTCACAACGATGAGGCATTAGCACTGTGTACATTATGACAACCATAGGGTTAGTATCAGTGGCGACAGTAGCAATAATCCAGAGAATTGGTACAAATTCCAATTGTATAGGCTGCATAATCAAATTTATGTTTATAAAGCAATGATCACAAATACGCCCTTGATGTTCTTAATGTAACTACAGGGAAGAACAAACAAACATACCTCCTAGTCGTTCTGCAATAGCACCGGTAAGAATACCACCGACCATGTCCACTACAAGTACATCTGCATTTGCAGTAACGTTCCCTAAGCAGAGCAGTAGAGATAGTGCATCCACTCGCATGAACCTGATGGAATCAAAAGAATTAATATCAACCCCCGTGTACACAAAGCCTAGAATCACAATGAACATCTGGATGACATATTTATTTATATTCTTAACGTGCATGAGCACTGTCATACCAACAACAAATAACATCAAGGAGAATAAATCAGATTTCAAGATTTCTTGATTCCAAAATAAGTAATCAAAGTCTATTTTTCCTTTTCTCCAATCAAAAGGATAAATCACAACCAGAAAGCAACAGGTGAAGATATTTGATCAAAAGCAAGAGCAGACCATATTATTACCCGATTTTGTCAGGATGTTTCTTGAAGTAGGCTTCACAAATGCTGAAAAGAGCAAGACATATGTTAGATACTGAAGAAAGATCGAGGAACACAACAACTGGGGATTTGCACCAAGAAACCAAATGCAGCATTGTGATTTTCTATGATTGACATAAGCACTAGTGAATCTCTTGGGGATTTCGAGCCCATGAAATTAAATGCAGAACTATCATTTTATATGCTTGAAAGAACAATAAAGAAAAAAAAGTGCAGAACTACCATTGTGTATGATTGAAACGAAAATAATTTCATCTGAGACAAAAATCATAAAAATTGAAACGCAATCCAAACTGGCTCAAAAATGCTTTATGCATCAAAAAGAAATAAGAGGACAGAGTCAGAATTCCACAGCGAAACTGAGTGTTCCATATGATTGAGGTGGTATGACCTAGTAACAACAAAAGTGACAGTTACCAAAAGATCATTGCGCAACTAAGAAATACTGCTTTCATACCCACTTGGGGCGGTCCGGCTACAGTTTGCAGTATCTGAAAGTAACTTGTTTAATTTTGATTATGTAACCATTATTAGAGTTTAGTTCCTAAGCTCGAAATTAAAAAATAAAAAAATAAAAAAATTAGAAACATTATTCAATCTTGTCTCCCCTCTCCTCTTCCCCAGTCCAAGTTACAGATGAAGGAAAATTAGGAAGTAAGTTTAGAATAGAGATATCCAGAATAACAAATGG